AACCTCAGCCTCTATTTTACCAGCTCTTTCAGCCACATTGTCATATTCTGAAATTAAAAAAAATTGAAAACTTAATGCATGTTTCTAGGTTAACAAACACCACTACTTACATGTAAATTTCTTCAGTTAATATGACTTAACCTAATGAATTTAAAAGAAATTAGATATCTAGGGAAAAGCACCTCAAAAAACCCTGGAAACATACCATGTCTAGACAAACAGTGCTATAACAACACATGGTAAATTCTATGGCTCAGCTCTGAACATGACCCATTTACTTCTTAATGGCTTCATGCTCTCAAGCTCTTTTCAAAGATCTTTTCAACTTTTTCTTAGGGTACTTCCTTGCCTCTTAATGGTCTCATAACGCTTTTCCAGTGGTTCCCAACCTTCAGGCCCTTTAAATACAGTTCCTCATGTTGTGACCCAACCATAAAATTATTTTCATTGCTACTTCGTAACTGTAATGTTGCTACTGTTATGAATCGTAATGTAAATATCTGATATGCAGGATGGTCTTAGGTGACCCCTGTGAAAGGGTCGTTCAACCGCCAAAGGAGTTGCGACTGAGAACCGCTGCTTAGACTATGTGCTCAATAGGCTTGCCAATGGTGAAGAAATTGTGGTTATTTTATTTGCTAACCTAAGTTCTCCTCCATGTGTTTTAACAAGAAGTGTGGAGATAGGATAAAATTGGCACTCTTTTGTGTGGCATCGAAAGCTAACTTACATTTTGTATCTAGGTATATTCAATCAAATGAAATTGCATAATTTGGGAGGCAAAAGTGAAGAATCAAACACGTTTCTGCAAGCAAGCAATCACAGACAAGTTCTTGATGGAGTTAGTGTTTCTGGTGTCCAGTCAAAAGCTTTGTGAATAGAGGCAGTGGCATTAACTTTGATGGTACAGATTATAGTGGGTGATGTGCTTCTGATGCTGGTAACTGTAGTGTTATCTTCCCAATAAGAGACAGTATAGCCCAATAAGAGACAGTATAGCTCCTTTGATGGTTGCGCAGAGTAGCTCTGGAAATTATTCATGAAAGTTCAACCTAGAATTAGCCATACTAACGATTCTATAAACAATCCACTACTCTCTTAAGCACACTCGTGGCTCTATACAAATCCTAAGCACACCAGCCAGGACTCTCTTCTCCTATTTGAATCTTAATCACTATACAGTATCAGAAGGAGGAAAGGTGATAAAAAGGTGAGGAGTTCAAGCTATCAAGAATACCTATGTCTAAAAAACTGAACTAGCTTGTGGAAAGAGAATCCCATAAAGCTCCTGGAGGAGGTGTACAGGCATTTGTCACTGGCAGTGGTAGGTAAGATTTTCTGAGAGAAAAGGAGTGGATGAGGAGTTAACTATTGCTGTTTTTTCTCTTCTCTTAGGTAGGTTGGAATTTCAACCTTCCCTAAATCTTAACTTACCATTTCTCTCTTAGAGTTCTAAATTACCAGAGAATTCTTTAGCCTGATCTTGCAGCCCATCTAATGAGTTAATTTGAACAACTCTGTTGTTACTTTTCTGAGATCACTGCTCAGCTCTTAAAAAAAACAACACTGTTTTTATGGTCTTTTGGATCCCCCTTTCCCCTAAGGATATTAAATGTACACATTTACAAGCTCTATATTGCCAACACTAGAAATGTTTTTTCCAGGTCTAAGATGGCTGAAATTCCTTTAGGTTGCCTGCGTGTTCAGCTTACATGTAGGGCAGAGCACCAGCTGCATTGGGGGCTGGCACTGTGACTTACACTGGGGAGTGCCAGGTATGCAGCTGGAAAGGGCTCTAAACCCTTCCTTATTTTCAAGTATATACAATGCATTTCTTTTTAAATTTTGAAGTCAATATTCTATACCACCTTACACTCCCCAACCCCTTACTCTATTCTCTACACATTAGCCAGAGAGATATTTTTAATAACCGAACTAATATAAAATATTTAATCTTAAAGATATGTTTGCAGAAATGGGTTCTTCATATTAGGCATTAACAGTCTACTGATAATAGCTAGTATTTCCAAGAGAGGAGAGAGATTAATGAATATAGAGCTCCTAATAAAGTCAAGGCTTCCTTTTCAAACAAAAATAAAATACAGATTCCTGCAGTCTCTCTGTAGAAGTGTGGCTATAAATGATAAGATATGAAATGGCCTTTCAACTGACCATTAGGTAGCACCAAAAGTCACAAAAAAATATTGTGGGTGTGAGGAAAAAGGAGTGTGGGTGAAACGTCAATGTGTTTGCAAAAACAAAAAATAGATCCAAAACCTAATGCAAGGGGAAAAATCCTCTCAAGATTACACCACTTCCCTGTATATCACTCTCCAATGCTTTTTATTTCACTTGGAGATCTGGCCTATCAGGCTCCACATTATCTGGACTCTTCCACTTTTTACTCTAGCCACTCTGGCTTCCTTGTATTCCTAGAAATTTCTGGCACACACCGGCCTCTGAGGGCCTTTGTACTTTTCTGTTTTTTAAAAATATGTTTTATTGACTTTTTACAGAGAGGAAGGGAGAGAGATAGAGTTAGGAAGATCGATGAGAGAGAAACATTGATCAGCTGCCTTCTGCACATCTCCTACTGGGGATGTGCCCATAACCGAGGTACATGCCCTTGACCGGAATCGAACCTGGGACCCTTCAGTCCGCAGGCCGATGCTCTATCCACTGAACCAAACCGGTTTCGGCATGTACTTTTCTACATTTCTCTTGTCCCAAATACCCACATGGTTAGCACTCATACTTCCTTTGAATCTCTGCTCAAATATCTCTAGGAAAGGCCTGTCTAACCACTGTGTCTATCTGCCTTCTCCCCCACCCCTACCCTGTCCATTATCCCGGTTTTACTTATCCCTTAGCACCACCTGATAAAATATGCAATATGTTATTTTGCTTCCCCATCTCCAGTGTGAGCTTCTTGAAGAGATCGACTTTAGTAGATGCTGAGTGAATGCCTTAATATTAAAAATGCAGATAAACATGACTACAAATAACAAAAGAGTATAGTGGACATCTGTCTAACATCTTTTTTACCACTTTTTCTTTTGAAGAAAACTCTCATTTTTGGAGCATTTGCATAGTTGTTTCAACTTTACCCCAACTACTTCTTTGGGATGGACAATCAGTATTTACCTTCCTTGGCTCACAAACCAAACTGTAACGGGTTGTCTTGAGAGTTCGATGAAGGTACACTGTTTGCTGGGGCCACTAGCTAAGATACTGTAAGCCAGGAAGGAATCTGTTATCATAACATACCATTACCTCCTTCTGCAATCATCTATTCATGTTTCATTGAAGTAAGCATGGAAAGAGAAGCAGGGTTGCTCAAGTGCATGATCAGGGGATTTCAATATCAAAGCCACCTCTGACTATAAGCCTATGAATTCTCTCTCTTACATGTTGTACACAAGAAAAAAAGGTTCTGGAAGAAGTCTTTTCCTAAGTTTTCAAGCAAATACTGGTTTTTCTTCACGTATGTGAAGAAAACCACATTTATCTCCTTTGTGCTTTTTTTAGTTTCTCCAAATCCTTTCCTTAACCCAGCAATTATCAACTGGTGTGCCACACGTTTTTTTAAAAACATGCAATACCTATTTAGTCAGGGGCACTGACCTCTTTTCCCTTAGATTATCTAATAAAAAAATGACAAAGGCCAAAACAATAGCTGTCTGCTGTAAATGAATCAAAATTGTACCGACATTTCTCTCTCTAAAATCAATAAAAAAAATTACACCTACATTGTCAGGTGGACAAAAAAATATATATTTTTGGTGTGCTGTAGAATTTTAGTAATTAGTTTGTGTGTGCCATGAGATGAAAAAGGTTGAAAATCACTGACAAAAATAACTACTATTTTGAAGGGTTTCCAGGGAACACTGGGCCAAAGTATACAAATATATAAAATTAAGAGCATGGGCTCTAGAATCAGACTGCCTTGAATTCTTTTTTTTTTTATT